TGGTAGTTCTATTTGTAGGTCTTTGAGGAACTTCCACATTGTTCTTCGTAGTGACTGGACTAATTTACATTCCCACCAACAGTGTAAGAGAGTTCCCGTTTCTCCACAGCCTCACCAATCCTGATGATTCTTTATGTTTTTACTCTTAGCCATTCTGACTGGAGTTAGGTGGTATCTCATCATGGTTAAAATGTTCTTTCAAAAACTTACTATCAGTGATTTATACCTCGGTACCAATTTAAGTCAATTATCTGTCCCAGGGACATTGGTATTTTAAGCCTGATGGTCCTTGCATTCAGAATTATCAGGTACCAGTGGTCAGGTGGGAGAAAATTCTGATAACTTGGAAATGCAGTTACTGGGGAGTCCTAGAATCCTGAACCATGACAGTGCTCTAGTTGTTTTGGGTTAAGGAACCCAGAACCCAGAACCCAGAACCCAGAAATAGGCCTTCTTCCTCAGGGAGCTGCAGTCCTGCTGAGATTTTGTGTCTTTTTATACCAGAGTCTATGAATCTGAAATCTTTGGTACCTAAAAATATTTAAGAGGTGACTATTAATCTGTTACTAGAAAAATTCACATAAGTAAATCAATACTGAGTTGAGTCTTTTCAAATACAGTTTACCTATACTTGACCTACTTTAAAAGACAAGTTGAGATAAAGTGATAATTAGCTATTGTCTATGTCTTTAAGAACTTTTTTTTTTAGAGGGTTTTGCTATAGGGTGCGTGTGTGCGTGCACTGAAAGACAGAGACAAAGAGACAGAAAGTGAGAAATCACTCCCCAGGGGGGATGGCCACGCCACAATCCCTTCTCCTCCATTCTCCTCTTGGGATCTTGGGCACACACACACACACACGTGCCCGGCATGAGTTTAAGTCACCGGGTCCGGGACTTGAACCATGGTTGACTACGTGGGAGTCCACCAATATAGCCATTACACTAACTGCTGATCCCTGTTGTTGAGAACTTTTAAAGACATGTGGTAGGATGAAGTTAATCAGTCTTTCCACATAGATGAGGACTCCTCAGCATCATCCTTCAGTGATCTATAGACTTTGAATCCTTTGCCCCAAAAGGAAGCCTATCAGTGGCTTATTCTTTAAACATCACTAAGGTGTGTTTCTATCCCTAGGGGTTCCTGGCTGGACCCATAGCCCAGGCACAGCTCCTCAGGGATTACTTCCATTTTGTGATCTTAGGGTGATGGAGCACAGGCAGGCACCAAAACCAAGATTTTCGAACTACCAGGTCTGGGAATCTAACTGCAGTAGACTATGTGGGAGTCCAACACCTTAACTATCATGCTACTTGCTGGCCTCCAGCTTAGTTTTCAATGCTGGTTAAATTGATAAACTGATGTTTTAAAATCCAATGTTTGGGGACCAACAGGTGGGGTGGTGGTTAAGACGCTGGGCACTCCCACAAGGATGACCATGTTTTGAGTTTCAGACCTGGTGGCTTGCTTTCTCACCTTTCCCTGTCTCACTCTGGTCAAAATAAAATAAATAAAGTTAAAATAAATAATCCTTTTAAAAAATCCAATGTTCTCATCAATTTACTAGAATCAATAGGAACCGACTATGTACACAGAGATTATTTTAAAATTGAGTTGATGAGGCCTGTCATTATCTTTCTTAAAGTTTTTTGCTAAAAGGCAAAAGAGCTCATTAGAAAGACAGAGAGAGTGAAAGAGAGAAAGCGCCTGCCATGCAACCACAACGCAATGTCTTCTCCTCTGTCTCTCCCTTCTTTGGGGATTTTGGGCATACACATATGGCCAGTGTTTCTCTCAAGCTGCTGGGTCCAGGACTCCAACCACGCAGTTGGCCTTGTGGGATCCAGCCATCTTTTTTTAAAATTTTTTTTGAGTTTTTTTTTTTTTTTTTGCTATAGGGCACGTGTGCTCGCTGGAAAGACAGAGAAAGAGAGACAGAAAAGGAGAAATCACCCCCAAGGGGGATGGCCACACCACAATCCCTTCTCCTCCATTCTCGTCTTGGGATTCTGGGCACGCACGCACACATGCTCAGCATGAGTTTAAGCCACCGGGTCTGGGACTTGGAACTGTCCTCGGCTATGTAGGAGTTCAGCAACATAGCCATTAAGCTAACTGCTGGTCCAGGATCCAGCTATCTTAACCATCAGATCATGGGCTGGACTGAGGCCTGTCATTTTAAGTAACTTAAAATCATGTTAAAACGCTCTTTGATGACTTCCTCCCTATCAGAGGATAGAGTTGACATTGGTAAATATTTATCTACTAGAATGAAAAAGACATCTTAAACGCAACTGACCAATACTGACTGGTCGGAAGAACACTGAAGAGCTTTTTGTAGACCATAGCACTGCCAAAGTAACCGGCCCATTACACGAAAGTTGTGGTAGGATGCCGTATGTGCGACCTTGTCAGGGTATGCTTCAGGAGCCACTGATATGTGTTGGAATCCGCCATGAAGACTGAGGGTAGGTAAAGACATTTTTTTTTTTGAGAGCATGTGAGCTTGTCAGGGTGAGATGGAAAGACACACAGAGAGGGAGAAAGCAGCCCTCGGTGGGGTTACAATATGATCCATTTCGCCATGCTGTTGGGGTTTGGGGCACACACACATGCACCTGGTGGGATTTTCTCGGGTTGAGATTCAAACCACAGATGTGTGGGATCTGGTTCTCTTAGCCACTAGGCTATGGGGCCAGCCCTACATGGCTCCCTTATCTAACAGGACTTGGGAGTTAAAGAGTGGACATGAGGGTCCCAAGTAAGTCTTCTTAACAATATAATTGTTTCAATAAAGATTGTCCTATATTTCTGAACTTTAAAGGTTCCCAAATAAAAATGGAATTTACATCGGGTGTGAAATAATCTCTTTTGGTGTGTGCGACACACATGCATACTACATGATGACAAGTCATATTAAAATTTATTTTAAAAATACATGGTCACATTAGAAAGCCTATTTTACAGTGGTAAAGCAGCAACAGTTTTTATTTATTACAAATTCTAAAAAATAATCCAACATGAAGTTGGATTATTAACATTAAGTAAAAAGGAACACTGATGATCATTAAAAACATTTCAATCTAAAATTGCCTACTAAACAAAAAATCTTTACATTCACACAAGACCAATGTAATCTGGTTGGTTTTTACAGACACAGAACTTCTGTAGGGCCCTATCAACAACTTTCTATTACGTACAATGCCAACAAAATAAAGCAATAAAACAGCAGGGTACCCCTCATGGACACCAGTGAGCCCGTCAACCAGGTGTGGGCCAGAGAAGTCCACCTCATTGGCAATACGAAGCTCTTACGGGCTGGATCTTGGCCATGCACTTGTACTGGGGGGCTGTCAGGGCCCAGATATAAGAACTGCAGCTGCTCAGAGCTTAGTGAGCCAGTTCTAGGAAGCAGCCACCCCTCCTAGGAGTCATGGAGGTTCCTTGGTCCTTATTCATATGGACATACTTATGGAATATTTGGAATTGAAATTAAGGACCCGAACTACCACTTCATATGCACCCCCAAAATCTAAGGCCCCACCCAATAGGGGCAGTGGCAGACATTCTCACGTTGAGGTGGTCTGACCCTGGAACCAGCCTGGGGTCCTACTCTGATCTCCATGGAGCTGTTGGTGGCCAGGGAAGGCTTGCTAGACCCACCGATCACAGCAGCTGTCTTCAGCCCTGGCGAACAAAAGCTAGTACAGTGCGTCCAGCAGGTGGTGTAACCAAGTGGGTTAAACCATAACCAGATGCATTTGAAACCAGTGAGACTAAACTGTGTACACAAGACACAATGACGAATACTACAAAAACCGACAACAGTAACAGACTAGGACTCTCAAAATCCAGAAACCAGAGTTATTTGAAAGTGTTTCAATATAATTACACAAGGGGGAAAAGAATCTCAGCTAAACAAGTCAAGCAACTTTATTTTCACATGTACATGACTTAACAATGACCTTGGCTGGGGTTATGTACTCCAGGGACATTGGAACTTTTTCCTGTGGTATGGAAGGACACGCTAGAGAAAGTTACAAAGCAGAAAACGTACAGAGAAGGCACGCACTCTTCTGGCACTAGCGAAAGAACAGTTAGTGTCCCCGTGCCCCATCCTCCCCCTCAGTAATCACGGGGAATTTTAATCATTGCCACGGACGCTCTGAACCTGATCTTTTGAAGTCCCGTGGAAACTGTATTTTTGGTGTTAATTAACAGTCACTTGAAGCAGACCGGGGAAACCATGAACAGCATTACAGAGAAAGGAGAGCTGGAGCCTGGCGCAACTTCATCACGTCCTGGGTCATTTCAGATGCTGGGCGAGAGGACGGAAAACGCAGCTGATACGCTCTCTCTGTCATTCTCCATGCCAAGCATTTACAGAGGAGATCATTTGGTAGAAATAGATTCTAATTAAGGGTGATTCGGTAAAAAACATTTTTAACAACTACCTGCAAACATCCAGGTCTTAGAAAAATACTTGGCCTAATATTAAAGATAGAAAGTTAAAAAAAAAAATCCTTTCTCCATAAACATCAAAAGAAGATAGGCTCGGGACCAGCAGTTAGCGTAATGGCTATGTCGCTGGACTCCTATGGAGTCGACTGAGGTTCGAGTCCCGGACCCGGTGGCTTAAAACTCACGCTGGGTGCGTGTGCGTGCGTGCCCAAGATCCTGAGAGGAGAATGGAGGAGAAGGGATTGCGGCGTGACCATCCCCCCTGAGGGGTGATTTCTTGCTTTCTATCTCTGTCTCTCTGTGTCTGTCTGGCGAGCGCACACGCCCTATAGCAAAATCCTCTCCAAAAAAATAAAGAAAGAAGATAGGCTCTTTTAAAGGAAGGTAAGTCTGAAACTGATATTCTCTATCAACTGTGATTGGTAACAGTAAAGTTTTATATATTGATATTTTTATCTAATACATACTTCCAATGATGTTTCTGTCATAGTTTTCCTGATGTTTCTCTCTGGGGGAAATGTCTGTATTTTAGTATCAAAGGCTCTAATGTAAATGTTTCTCATCAACAGTTTGCACATGTGAGATTCCAGAGTCATCTTGTGACTGTGGGTCTGGCCTTGGCTTTATATGGTAACCCACAAGTCTTTTTCATTTTTTTTTTTAAGAGTATAAAACTAAGGTGCTTTCATGAGATACTCCCACCGACTGAAAATGTTGAGAACACACTTCCTCGTATTAAAAAAAAGAAGTCATTTAGGCTGCATTTACACGAAGACAATGGAAAGAATATGTGCTTGTCTGTTTTTCCCCAAAGAGGGCATTTATATGAGGTTGATTACTAACCAAATCTATATAAAACGTTTTGGTAATTCTAAGAAAGTAAAAGCACTTTGTTCAAAAAAGCTTATGAAGCCAAATACAGAACAGAAAAATGGCGGAAGAGTTGGTAGGATTGGCTTCCACTAATTTTTGCTATTTTTAAACACGGAAATGTCAGAAAACAACAGAAACGAGAAAACAGGAATATCCTAGTGTCCCTACCCCTACCCTGCTTCAGATTATAAAGCACCTGTTACCATGTACTAGAGTTAAGTGATTTTATATTAGAAACATTATAAATATTTCTTAAAAGATTCTATCTATAGAAAATATACATATAAAACTGTATATTTTAAAATAGTTTAAAACCTAAACATTTTGTATAAGCATCTCTATCCATAGAAAACATTTACTTTTTTCCACGTTGGTTGGGTATTTTATGCTACAGGCCATCACAAACCCAACTTACTTATACACTGACATTTGAAATACACATGTGCACACACGCCCGTCTGCATGTGCACTGGCATACGTGGGCAGATGTGTTTACATGCACACGCACATCCAACTGCATCTCACAGAACGCAAAGCAGCCACTGACAAAGCATCTTTTCCTAGCTCTTGGTGTTTGCAAAGTGTTTCAGTGTAATGTGGAAAAATAATTTTTACCTGAATTCTGTTCCAAATCGAACCCAGTGGGCATGAGTTGCAGCTGCACACCCTAAATGCATGTCTTGGTTTTGTTACAGTAAAAGGTTTTAAGTCTCCACAGATGAGACTCACATTTCCTGTGAAGGGCCCGTTGTAGATTGGTTATGGAAGAAAAGCGGTTCTCTGTGAACAGCTGCGTGACAGACACTGGGGATCACACCTACTGTTACAAAAACTCCTGACCCTTGCTTATCCCGGGTCTCCTCTAGGCAGCCTGAAAGAGAATCCCTGGCTGTGGATTTTGCCATGCGCACTCTGGAAACTGTGGAATGTCAGGAATGAGTTCTGTGTCAGGATACCAAAACCCTAGCAGCCAGAAATTCAGGCTCTCACCTGCTTCTCTGATATTCAATTCCCACGAAATCCTAGTTCTACAAACTAATCACCACTTGCTTCTAAATGACATCAAGAAGGTAACCGATCTCTTGGAAGAACCATCAGAAAAGGAGTTTCCCTGCCTTTCGACCACACAGGCCAACTAGCATGCTTGGTACGGCCACTGCTGTGCCTGGAAATGTCACCCGCTCTACGGTCTCATCTCCAGCCTCACCTCACGAGCTGTTTACATCTGTACAAGAAATAATTCATGAGAAGCGAAAGCCCTGCCCAGACAGTCCACTAACAGAGAACCCTACAAAATAAAACAGAGCAATGAGGGAATCTTATATATAAAATGGATTTACTCAGATTCTAGGGTTACTGTGAATATATAGGTTGGATTCAATTGGGCTTAACTTTAGCTTGAAATTTTAAATGACAATCTTCGTGACCAAAATATTTTATTCCGCAAGCATTGATGGGTGACTTTAGTGCTTGTATTAATAGGCTTAGTGTGGCCATTTAAGAGCAGACAGAATAAAAAGTACTAAATCATTTATGGGGCGGTGGGAGGAAAACAGAGACATAGAGGTCAATTTGATCTGAACCCCTTCAATGGGGCGCAATGCCCTTTAATACCTGAATAGGCACTTTAATATCAGATAAGGAGAACTTTTCCTACCCCTTCGGCTTTTCTTCTTTTGTGTGGAGTAAAGAGAATTTGCTACCGGAGTCCCTCTGCCTAGGACGAGACAATAACAGAAACCAAGGAGTGAAGTCTGTTTGTGATGAAGTTCACATAACTGCACTGTGATGAGTTATTAAGTAATGGGGAAAAGCAGGACTCACTCCACCCACGGCATGATCTGGAAGACCCTTTGGGCTTGCTTTAATGGATTTCTTCGAGAAGGATGCTTGGTGTCCATTGACGTAAGCATGCGGCTTCCTCTCTGATCTTCCCACGTCTCCCATCACTGCCCCTTGCTGGCCACGGAGCCCACCTTCACTTTGCAGCTTAAAGGGTCCTGAGTGAATCACAGTACCTCTCTCACGCCTGAGACAGGGTTGAGGGGATACATCATTCAAGATGGTGAAGGCCTCATATTTAAGGACAGGAGTTCAAAAGAATGCCATCTGGTGACACGAATGCCACTCTGACCCCGTGTACAGCAGAAGCAAACACTCCGACGGGTTAAAGTTTCAGCAAACAGTCAAAGCTCATGGGAAAACCTCTGTACTAAACCCACTGCTGGCACGTATGATTCACAGAACAGGCCCACTCCCACCCCTCCTCTTACCCCAACCAGTGACACACACTGCGATGAGTAGCTGCATTTTTAGCACACTCTACATTGACAGTAATGAAGCCTCAGAAGGAAAAGCGGCCACCTCTTCCCCCATGCATAGGGCACATACAAACACGCTTCCATTTGGTGATTGGCACCCACGTTGGGATGTGCAGTACATGCCACCAGCTAACGACAACACTGGAAAAAACTGTAACAATTATAGTAGAACACCAGCTGACAGGATAGCCACGTTCCCAATCTCTCTCCCTCTCTCTCATACACACTTACACGCACACACTCACACTGTTGTGGGGATATTCATCACTAAGAGAGAACTCAGAAGGTCTCCCCGGGCACATAATTCTCCACTGAGGCAATGCTGTCTGGAGGTGTGAGCATAAATTAGGGTGAACGATGATGCAGGCAGCAAACCCGTGAGGACTCGAACAATGACAACATCCTGCCATGGATTTTCAGCATGGGACGTGGGGGTTCTGGCTGCAGAGCGACCAGCATCAGCACTCGCTCGTCTTCTCGTGGAATATGAAAGGCAAACTGAGATTCCTCTGGTGGGGGTCGTGTACTTGCATGGTAGCCTTTCCTTGTGTTGCTGCGTTAGCGTTGTCTGAATACGCGTCTTCCTCATCTTCATCCCTCGGGTTGCCTTCCAGGCTGTGTCTGATGCCATAGGCGAAATAAATCAGGAACCCTTGGAAAGGGGAATAATGTGTAGGTGTGTCAGGAAATAACTCTTAATACAGAAAACCTGACGGAGAACTTAGGACTTTCCCCCTTCTCTTTTCGTGCCACTTGAGTAGAATGAAATGTAAATATACAATATTACACAGACGTTCTCCCTGATAATGTTCTCCCGGGAGAATGCACTTCTTCACCTTTTTCTTTTTTTTTTTTTCTGCTTTTCCAGAGGGCACTTTCACTTACCAGAAAGAGAGAGAGAGAGAGAGAGAGAGAGAGAGTACCCCTGCAATGCCGTCATGCCACGATCCCTTCTCATCCAATCTCCAACTGTTAGGATTTGGGGCATGCATGCACAGGAGCCTGGTGTGTTTTTCTTTCTTTCTTTTTTTTTTTTGGAGAGGTTTTCGCTATAGGGCACATGCACTCGCCAGACAGACAGACAGAGACATAGAGACAGAAAGAGAGAAATCACCCTCCAGGGGGGATGGTCACGCCGCAATCCCTTCTCCTCCATTCTCCTCTCAGGATCTTGGACATGCACGCACACGCGCCAGGCATGAGTTCTAAGCCACCGGGTCCGGGACATGAACTGCGGTCGACTACGTGGGAGTCCAGTGACATAGCCATTACGCTAACTGCTGGTTCCTAAGCTTGGTGTGTTTTTCAAGCCCCCAGGGCAGGGATTCAAACCTCACAGCGGGCCACGTGGATAATGGATCTGTCTCCCTTAGCCAGGAGGCCACGGGGCCAATCCCATTTCTTCATTTTTAACACTCAGACAATTTTTAGAATGTGTTTTTTCTCCTAAGGAATATTTTTCAGACCATGTTTATGTAGAAAAAAAGGTCTGTTCTCAAGACTGCATATTATACTTCAAATAAAAATGTGAATTGAGTCTTCCAACGACCTTCTAAATCATGTAGTGAAGTGTCAGTTATGATCAGGTATCTTGGATGCCATGTGTCAATGAAGGGGACACGGGCATCCCTTACACATGTCACTGTCACCAGGAGAGGCCAAAGAACGGTGTGCCAAACAACTGTGTATTAACAGCCACGGTGACTAGGAAGTGGGTGGCAATGTTTAACTTTGTGAGATAATTACTTATATATAAAAATATGTTTCTTGTATTTTGCTTTGTTTCAGTTTATTCTAGAAAAGTGGTTGAGAGTTTTAGGTGGAAGTAAAATTATTTTTTTCTAGGCTTCATTTTTCTTATCTATAGGTTGAAGAAAATAGAACCCACCTGGCTCTACAGGGTTTGTGGAAGATTTGAATTAAAAAAGGTTATCAGGCCAGGGACCAGCAGTTAGCATAATGGCTATGTCGCTGGACTCCCACGTAGTCAACCGTGGTTCGAGTCCCGGACCCAGTGGCTTAAACTCACGCCAGGCACATGTGCGAGCATGCCCAAGATCCCAAGAGGAGAATGGAGGAGAAGGGATTGCGGTGTGGCCATCCCCCCCTGGGGGGGTGATTTCTCGCTTTCTGTTTCTCTGTCTCTCTCTATCTGGCGAGTGCACGTGTGATATAGCAAAAAACCTCTCCAAAAAAAGAAAAAAAAAAAACAAAAAAAAAGGTATCAGGCCAGCTAGTGGAGTAGTGGTTAAGGTGGCTGGATCCCACATGGCCGAACATGCAGTTTAGAGTCCCTGGACTTGGTGGCTTGAAAAATGCACTGGGCACATGTGTGTATGTATGCAACGTGCCAAAAGGAGGAGAAATGAAGGGTAAGGGATTGTAGTATGACCACTCACCATGAAGGATTCTTTCTCTCTCTTTCTCTAACGAGGGCAAATACCCTCTGGCAAAATAATAATAGCATCTGAAAAAGTAAGTACTCAGCTGTTTCAACTAAGGAAGGAAGAAACATGAGAGCCTCTGGTTTCAGGGAGGGGGAGAAGATGCATTTCTCTTATCATGGAGCAGAAAATAGAAAGTGCACCAAAGATCAGAAGGCTAAACGTAAGGGACCCACCAAGCGCCATCCAAATGCTGAATCGGACCCAAGTGTCTGGACTCAACTGGACCATCAAGTAAATGTTCACCAGGATGCTGAGTGCCGGCAGAAACGGTAAGAACGGAACCTAAGGGGAGAAGATTGTTTTGAATATACTCAGACTTTGAAAGCACATTCCCCGAATTACTGTAACCCAGTGGCAACTGACATAAGTGGAGTTTTCCAAACGGTCATAAAACATGCGTGTTATGAAAAAACGACGCATCAATCTCAGAATCTTTCTGCCTCAGGACATACCCATACGTTAATCCCATTTCCCACTGACTTTTGGAAGTTCCCACATACGTAGTTTCACATGCCATCAGCAAGCTCATATTCTTCCAAAAAGGACAACCTGGATAAAAACCATTCCTCCCAGGATTACTGAAAGGAAACTCCCATTTCAGGGGACTTCCTGCAGCTCAAAGCGACAGGGGATTCACCCAACCAGCTCAACAGCTGCCCCATCACCCATTCACAACGGGTGTAGGACTTCACTTGTTCAGGGGTTTTGTTTGGCCCAGACAACAACAGAACATGCCTCTGGGACTGGGACTCTGGTTACACCAGGATCCAGGAGGAGCCTTCCAGGAAGTCCTCTTGAAGTCAAAACTTGCTTAGTTCAAGGGGACAGGAATATTTCACTTGCGCAGGAAGGGCTTTTGATGATATTAAATTCTCCTAAGAGGGCACTGGATTTCTAAACGTAAAATAGTCTAGCTATTTTTTCTGATAAAGCTTATTTACCAAGAAATCTGTTACCTATATATCCATTGTAATAATACTGTAGTCGGCGCATACTGAAGTTTTCCAAAAGGAAATCTGATAGCCAATGCAGGGAGGACGCCGTGCCAATAGGGACGGGTCACAGACTGACGTTCTTATTCACTGGTTATCTTTGATTGTCTTCGTTAGACAACCAAAGCTGATTGGTTGTTTGGTTATCTATCTATCATCTATCTATCTATCTTTTAAAGAGAGATTTTTGCTATGGGACATGTACGCTCGCCAGAGAAACAGACAGAAAGCGAGGAATCATCCCCCCGAGGGGGATGGCCATGTCACAATCCCTTCTCCTCCATTCTCCTATGGGGATCTTGGGTGCACATCCACACATGCCCAGTGTGAGTTTTCAGCTGCTGGGTCTAAGACTTGAACTGCGGTTGACTATGTAGGAGTCCAGTGACGTAACCATCATGCCGTCAGCTGGTCCCTTACTCACCTATTTAAATAACTCACAAAGCAAACATACGGAGAAGGAGCCCAAGGTGTGGAGGATCTCCAATCCCGACTGCACATACCATGAAGGCTACTTTCTGCTGATTCTGGGGCTGCCTCCAGATGGTGAGCACCGTGGCAATGCAGAGAACGAGCACCAGTGCCAGCAGGGCCAGGCTCCAGGCTTCCAGCCGGGCGAGAGCGCGCACGCCGTAGGTGGTCAGGACACTCAGGCCCAGCACGAGAAAAGCTGCGAGGCACAGGACAGAGGACATGGTCAGTGTGCTCCCCTCGGCCTCCGGCTCAGTCTGCTCTGAGGAGACTCCCCGGTCTCCACATCTCTGTCACACACCAAGCCTTTGCTTCGTCCCCACCCTCCCCGCCCCCACTTTTTTGTATTGTCCAATTTTCAGTTTGTCTTGCTGACCAATTTCACAGATTTAAGAAACATGGCTTGATTACTCATTGCTGTCTCCTTGGAAGTCAGCTTCCTAATTTTGGGCTCCTAAAATGCTGTATTTGCCCAGGTGCCTTCTGGGACCTCCTTTGCTGCTCTCAGACTTTAACATACAGATGGATGGCATGTCATCGGGGGGAGCTTTTTCAAATGAGAGACGGCACACTGTCATCTATCTTCTTCTTTTTTTGCTTTCCTTTTTGTGCTATAGGGCACTAGCACTTGCCAGAGAGAGCCGGAGAGAGAGACGAGAAGGCAGCCCTACAGGGAATGGTCGCACCGCAATCCCTTCTCCACCCCGCCCTCCTTTCTAGGTTCTGGAGATGCACACACATGTTTCTGGGGTGCTTCTCAAGCCATGGGTCTGGGAATGTCCAGTTGCCTTAACCACCAGGCCATGGAGCCAGTCCAAGTCGGTCCATCTTAAAATACTGTAAACAGGGATTGTCAGTATTAAAGTGAATAATATCTAATCTGCATCATTTCTTCCTGCTCCAGAGGCTGACGTCACCATGCAGCCACCTGGCTCTGACTTCCAAGTCTGCATGACGGGTCCCTCCTTTGCTCTCAACCCTACACTTCCCTGCACTCACCCTCCTAGGGCTGGGAAGTGGAGTGAGACTGAGGACCCCCTCTCCTGGTACCCCAAATGCCCAGTGACTGACACATAGATACAGTTCAACAAAGGTCACTGAAAATAGGATTATGTAAGGGTGGGGCAGCGAACAAGGATTCCCTACGCTGCCTCTCCGCCCAGTGGGTCCCGGGTCTGTGGCTGGCAGGTTCCTTGGCCCGATACTTTTGCACTAAGGGCAGGTTCACAGCTGCAAGGTGTGCAAACTCGTCCCCCCACCATGCTCCCCTTACGGAGTGTCTTCCTTTCTTCAATGATCAAGATAAGATACGTTTTTCCTAATAAAAGATGATCTCATCGACTAGTGCTCCTGCAAGTGGAGCTCTCAGGGCCCAGGGGGTTGCCCCATATTCCAGGCTAGGCCCTGCCTTTGTTCTGGCTCCACCCACACAGCGTGCTGGGTCTGATGTACACAGAGAAGACGAGGGAGGAGACTTACCCAGGAACCCCACCAGGAAGCTCACGAGAGAAGCCGACTGTCGTGTGGGCAGAACAGAGGGGCTGAGGAGGGTCTGCAGGCTGAAGCCCTGTCCCTGCAGCGCAGTGACCTGGGACTCGTTTTTCAAGGCTGTGTTGGCACACGATCCCAGAGCTTCTTTCTCAGGAGAACATTTGGGCTGCTCGTAAGCCAAGCTGGGCTGGTACCTACCCCGAAAACATATTGGTGTCGTTATTGTCAAGTGGACACGTGGCCGAAGTGACAGCAGCACCTAACCCTCGAAGTGTGCCATCTTACAGGGTCACACTGAGGGCAGGAGATGCAATCCTCATGTCCTACCCAGTGCTGGAGCTCTTTCAGTGAAGTTTCTGTGCATTCCCTCCGGCGGCCACGTCCTGAGAAAGCCGCATATCAGCATAATCTCCCCACTGTCTGCCCTGAGTCCTCTGTTTACCCAGATGTTTCCCTCTATTACCGACACGTGGTCTTTTCTCTACGGCCTGTGTCAGGATATCAGCGCCCTCCCAGTCTCCCTGGAGTGGCCTCTTCTACCCCTGAGGAGCCCTTGCTTACTTCTGGAAATAACATTTACCTTCATGTAAATATGCTCTCTGAGAATGACACCACAAAGTTAGAAGAATATGAGAACCACCCACGATAACACTCCCCAGTGCTGATCACTGTGCTAGTGTCCTGGTGCAATTTCGTAAGGTCTCTGTAGGTCTGCTTCCGTCCTGTACATTTAAGGTAGTGACTCAGTAAGCCCAGGTGCTACCTGCAGCTTTGTGTCCTGAGACTGATACAGCTCACCAGATCATCAAGTATCACTTTATCTGCCGTAGAAGCGTCTGCTGAATAAAGGCACCTGGTTTGCTTAACCTGTCTCCTATCGATATTCACGTTAGCTACATGTTTTTTACTTTTGTAAATTACTTTTTCCAGGAAACATCTGTGTATGCCTCTGTAATTACATTTCTTTATTTTTGTTTTTAAAAATGTTTTTTGTTGTTGCTGCTGTTGTTATTTACATGGGATGGCTGTCCCTCTTCACCGTGTACAACCTGGCTTTTCCCAGCATGCCCACGGTGCGTATCCACCAAGACAAAGACAGTACCACACACATCCACGGCAGCAAACAACTTCTCATTTTTTGTCAATTAGAGGTACTGTGTCTTCTCCCTATCTCCCTCCCGCCTCCCCTGTAATTAAATCTTGATACAAAATCTTAACAGTTGAATTATGAAAGAGTACGTACAGTATTTGAAGGTTCTTTATACTGGGTCATCATGAAAGCCATGACCTATGCTTCTATATTCCTCTGTGCAAAAAATGTGTCATGATTTTTCCTATGACCCAACTAGCCATACATTATGAAAAATTGCTTTTCGCATGGGGCAAGCTACCATGCATGATCCAACTGTATTTGATTACTTGCTAAGGATCAAGGATGCTCCTGTTGCTGCTTTTTATTTTTCTTTTTTAAATTTGTCAGAGGGCACATGCACTCATCAGAGACAGAGACAGAGGAGGAGAAGAGATAGCATCCTCTACTGGGTGTAGTTGCACCGCAATCCTTTTTTTCTCCATGTCTGTCTTGTCAGTATTTTGAGCACACCCCCATGTGCACAGCGTTTTTTCAAGTCACTGGGGCTGGGCTTCAAACCACATTAGGCCACGTGGGATCCAACTCACTTAACCACCCGGCCACAGGGCCAGCTGACCAAGTAGTCTTCTTACACTTTATGTTTTACATGGATGTTTCACGCACATGGTCTCTCCCTCTGTGAGATGAGACTACGAGCACCCCGCCTGGCATACACCCCAGAACCACCTGGCTGCTCACCTGAGGATGAGAACGCAGGCCGCGACCAGAGAGTAGGCCATCAGAGTGCCGATGGACATCATGTCCACCAATGCCTTCAGGTCAAAAAGGAAGGCCATCACAGCTATTGGGAAAGCGAAGAAAAGGTGAAACAAACGGTCAAGAAATGGGTACAATCCCACACAGTAAGTCTCAAGTCAGACCCGACTAGCTGACATGAGGAGTCAATAGAGTGTAGAAATAGGTTCTCTAAGACCTTCTTTATGTCATATAAACTGCTAATGAGACTTCAAAAGCCCTCAGCTCTCTGACCAGTGCAAAACACATCTACTTTGATTACCTTAGGAAAAAGTTGGCCGGCCAAAGAGTAAAAATATTGTATGATGGTCTTTGATGTTTCAGAAGACAAACACTGCTAGAAAATATTGGCGAGCTTTTTTTTTTTTTTAAAAAAAAAATATTCAAAATGACATTCATACAGAAGGAGCTTTCACTACAGAAGTTATATCATCATTTTTATTTTTATCAGCCTTGTTCGATACAACTCAGGATCATTTTAATGATTTTCAATGAAATTACGTTGGTGATGTAGGTTCATTTACTCTGATTAAAGTCACACACTTCAGGCAGACCAACTAGGTTTGAGGATTCAGGTTATGGTTCTGCATTCGAAATCTCAATAGTGCCAAGAGGCCAACTATGCGTTAGCTGCTGAGTGGTCAACCAGTACTTAGCAACTATTTGCTCTACTGAAACATCAAAGTAGTGATAATAACTTACATCTACTAATAGCCTCCCTAGCATAGCAAGCAGGTACTTCTCTCTCTATGAGTTCTAGACTCCCTATAAGCTTTCTATCGCTAGAATTTCATTTTATCTTCATGTGACTGATCCTATAAGATGGAGAAATTAGTTAGGTTTAGTTAGGTAAAATGGCTGGTGTTTAACTGTTTTTGACCAAAAAATAAAAATTCCCGGCAATTTCTCATGGTTTGACCTATTAGGGTCACCCCATCTTATAGAGGCGACAGCTGCCACTACAGGGGAGCGCCACCTAAACCAACAGCCCACGCATACCACACTGGCACTTCAAACGCACGGTGCCTTACTTTGGAAACTCTTCATTGCCAGCACACCTACACACTAGATTATTAACATTTCAGCATGCTTAAAAAAAAAAAAATCACAGAGCTGCGCCAGCAGGTGGTATGGTGAATAAAGCACTGGATTCCACATGGCCAGCTCCACAGGTTCGAGTCCTGGACCCAGCACCTTAAAAATTATGCCAGCTACATGTGTGTTTGTGTGCCCAAAATCCAGAGAGGAGAATGGAGGAGAAAAGATCGTGGTATGACCATCTCCCCTAGGGGTGATTTCTCACTTTCTCTGTTTCTGCGTCTCTTTCTCTCTCTCTCTCTGGCAAGCACACTTGCTCTATGCAAAAACCTAAAAAAAAAAAAGAGAGAGAGAGAAAAATAACGACTGATGATCCACACAAGCTCTTGATCTAAGCTAAAAACAAGCAAAGTAAGTTGTGGAAGCACAAAATTACAAAATATAACATCACAGAGCATTTTTTTAAAAAGTATTCTACCGTAATTATTTTAACAATTTCAATAAACTATTATGATGCCAAATTAAATATTTCTTGAGAAAAATTAACTTTTTACAATTTTGAATGTAAAGTAGAGTAGGACTGGACAAATTCTTTACTGGGAGAAAACACTTTTTATGGATTAAATAAAATATGTGATCATCTCCAATATTAAAATGCACCATTTAATAAAAATAAGGGCTTTAAATCATCTAAGGCAATCTGTTAAGGGGACAGTCTTAGTTTGAGAAAATAAGAGACTTGATTTTCCAACATGTATCTAATAAAGTGCCAGATTTATCAGAAAATGTTTACAAAGTGTGGGACCAGCAGATGGTGTAGCAGTTATGTCACTGGACTCCCATGCAGTGAGTGCACCATGGTTCGAGTCCCAGATTCGGCATCTTAAAAACTCACGCTGGGTGCATATGCGTGCGTGCTCAAAATCCTGAAAGGAGAAAGGATTGTGGCATGGCCATCCCCTCTGGAGGGTGATTTCTCACTTCTGTCTTTCTGTCTCTCTCAGTCTCTCTGGTGAGCACATGTGTCCTATAGCAAAAAAAAAAAATAATAATAATAAAAATAAAAAAATAAAAATAAACTCTCCAAAAATAAAATAAAATAAAATAAAATGTTTACAAAGTGAAACCATTTAGGCAAATACTTTCTAAATCTGCAAAAATCCCATTTGATACATAATAAAGTCTTCTCAAACCTAATTTTTCAACAACTCAGAGCATCAACAAAATGAACATTTTGGTTGGAATTTTTACTGGCAAAATTGTTTATCATTTTATCTGTAAAGCTTGCCAAAGCCTTCCTCTTGCTTCTTCTAACAGTAACTTCGGGGCCATTTTCTCTATCTGTAGAAAATTTTCTCTGAAAATTTTGATATGGAGCTAGAATCTGGTCAAAGGCACTTTACATGGGTATTAAGACATGCCATAAGGTAGGCAATCCAGATTTTCTGAACCTAACATAAATAGCAACACTCCTGAAAGGAAAACAGACCCCTAGTAGGGTTTAGAGGGTAAATGTGTCAGTACCTCTTAGCGCCCCCTGAGGGCCCAGGCAGCGATTACAAGGGCCAACTAAAATTACCTTTGACATTTCTCATACTTAAGAATGGGTAAGGTTTAGCTTTTCAAAATTTCTATCGTCTTTTAGTAATACTCAACTTACATCCTGCGCAAGAAAGAAAATATTGAATCATTTTTAAATTAGTATTTCAGAAATGAAGTAATTATTCTTCAAAGAAACTCTTATGCCCAAGATATCATCGGATGTGCCAGTTCATCCATCAGAAAAGCACTGTGTGATCTGTAGTGGAGAACCATTACAGCCCTGTATGTCTGTTAGAAGCCCCAAAAGTTAAAATAACAATAAAAAAAAAATTCCCAACAGGTCAGTTAAGGATGAATTTCGTTACACCACCACCACCACCACAATTTTCAGGTGTTAATTCAATGCTCGGATGCTAATTGATCAGTGATTCTGTTCTTAACTTACATGCACGGCATGCAGACCCTTTTTGTAAGTCCACGCATGCGCCCCAAACGCTCCAGGCCGACGCAGAAGAAGCCCGAGTCTGGAAAGCTTACCAGAAATGACCCCTGCCGTCAGTGTGGCAGCAACGGGTGACTGCCTCTTACTCACTCGGGCAAGGAATCTAAACAGTAAGCCATCCCGGGCCATGGCAAACAGAATTCGGGGCAAAGGGAACATAGAGCCCAGAAGGCTAGAACAGAAAAATCCACAATCCACATGTGAGTTATTTTAAGGATGACTCTAGAAAGGCATGTACAGGTCATGGCTGGACACACGGAAACACAGCACAACATTCAGAACAGCAACACTTGCAAAAGAGCGACCGAACAGCGGATACGTAAATGGAAACAGAAAACCGCTGGGTAAACTCTTCTCCGCAGCCGTCATAGGCTCCCCCTTTCCTCAGGAAAAGTCAACTCTCTTACCTGCCACTGCACCGGATGATAAAGTAGCAATTATTGGTGTCTTCGTTTTGGAATTGATTTGAGCTAGACATTTGAAAAGCAACCCATCCTCCGCCATAGCATAGATTACACGAGGCATTGGGAAAATGGATCCGAGAAGGCTGAATGAAAAGCAAACACATGCAGGATGGCAGACGCTCTCATGCAAGATCTCAGCCCAGGATTAAAATCAAGTAACTGTAGAAAACGCAGCGTAACAGCTGTGGTTATGACGTCAGGCTGTTTAACACGCACCATGATTGGGCATTTCAAAGTGTTTACTAGCATTTATCACTGGGCTGTTCATTCTGTGGCAGATGCCTGCCCGGCAATATCATCAGACTAACAACATTGCAAGTAATTGTGTGTGCCCATAATTATTAACAAATTAAAACACCATACTAATTAAGACTTGACAAGAAACCAAACCAACACCATTAGCAGCAATCGCTCAGAAGAGAAAAATTTCTAAATTGACGTGTAATTAACACGTGATGAAATCATTTTATTTCATGGGAACAGTCATCTCATTTATTTGACGTTTATATATGTTTTCGTTTATATTTTTATTTACCGTTATTCTTCCTCACACAGCCTGATCTTTGATCAACTTAGTGATGATTCTCAGCATAAGATAATCAAGGTAGAGAAAGGTTAAAAAAGGCCAACTTACTGTAAATTTAGTATAGGGACACAGCCATGATTAAAAGTAATAGTAAAGTTTAATAAGATAGTTTTTGACTTAACATGGTTTGAATTACTTGGGTTTCCTGGCTTTACCATTTAGAGAAAAAAAGTAAAAATTTGATTTAAAAAACCCATCTCTTGGGCCAGCCAGTGGAGTGGTGGTTGCAGTAGCTGGGTCCCACAAGGCCGACTGCATGATTCGAGTCCTGGACCCACAAAACAAACACACTGGCACACGTGCATGCGTGCCCAGAATCCTGAAAGGAGGGACAGGGGAGAAGGGACTGCAGAGTGGCCATCCTCCATGCGAGGTGACTTCTCACTTTCTCTCTCTCCTGTGAGCACACATGCTTTCTCGCAAATATTTTTTTAAAAAATTCTTTATCTCTTAATAAAGCTGGGTCAATCTTTGTTCATCCCCTCTACGCACGTGGTGGCATGGTACTTCGATGGTTCAGACACCTGAAACTGTGAAAGTATTCAAAATAAACCTCAGCACTACCACATGGCTGAGAAACCAATAAAGGGAATTTGTGATTGTCACTTAGTATTATCTTGAGTCAACAATTAAAAATATTTTGAGAGAAAAAAATAAAGCTAGGTCGATGAGTTATAGTAAAAGATTTATTTTTCTAATTTTGGATTTTTAGAACATTATCTTCACTTTAAAAATTAGTCATTAGATTTATTTTCTCTTTGTTAAAATTTTCAACGGCATAGCATAGTCCAAAACCAGAAGGAAATAACCTTACCTATGATAGTACGTTAATTTGAAATATGATTAGCTTGGGAAACCTGAGAAATGTTTTCTAACATAAGAAGCTAATGAAATTTGAAAATTCAAGCCCTTGAGATTCAACCATACTTTTCTTTTCACACAGATATTATATGACAATTCATCATTAATTTGAGAATAATAATTTCTATTTCTTGTCTTTTCTTTTTTCTTTCTTTCTTTCTTTCTTTCTTTCTTTCTTTCTTTCTTTCTTTTTTTCTTTTTTTTTTTTAAGATTTTTGCCATAGAGCGTTTTGGCTGGCTGGAGACTCAAGAGAAGGAAAGTGAGAAATCACCCCCAAGGCAAGATGGCCACACTGCAATCATGTCTCCATTTTCCTTGAGGGATTTGGCCACACTGCAATCATGTCTCCATTCTCCTTGAGGGATTATGAACATATATGCACATATGCCCAGTATGTTGAGTCACCAGCTCCAGGACTAGAACCGTGGAGCTAGCCATGTGAGATCCAGCGTCTTAGCCACCACGCCACCTGCTGGCCCAATAACTAACCAACTTCACTCTAATGGGTGCTAAAGGAAACGTCTCAGTGGTTTACAATAAACAGTGCATTATATTTAACAATCACATAGCACGTAGTTCCCACTCAGACTTAGTGTTACCTTAAAAGGTCAGGAAACATCAAGTCTGCACACATATTTGCATGGTCTGCAGCACTACAATAACACCGAAGTGGGGAGACATTCCAGGACAAGCATCCTGCAGTTTTATAACACACACATACGTAAGTATGTCTGACAGATACGAGGGGACTTTGATAAATTCACAGAGAGTAGAATTAAAGCCGGAGTTTATTTTGGTTCCCCAAATTTTGAAATCTCTATATATTTTATTCATGGTACACATTTCTCGTGAGCTCTCTCTGTGTGAACGTGTGTGTACCAACGCTGTATCTTATTTCTGCTGAAGCCTGGATCTTCCTATCTTTAAAAGCTAAGTATTGGCCAGCAGGAGGCGTGGTGGTTAAGATACTAGATGCCCACATGGCCAACAGAGGTTCAAGACTCAGACCTGGTGGATTTCTCACTTTCTCTCTCTCTGTCTCTGGTGAGTACACATGCCCTACAGCAAACTTAAAAAACAAAACAAAACAAAAAACAAAAAAAACCCACAACAGTAATAATAATAAATAAAATAATATAAATAATTTTAAAAAAGAATTCTTTAAAGAATAGGTAAGTAGGGGCCAGCAGGTGGCATGGTGGTTAAGGATGCTGGACTCCCCCATGGCCGACCGCCACGGTTGAAGTCCTGAACCTGGTGGCTTGCTGTCTCACTTTCCCCCTCTGTCTCGCTCGCTCTGTCCCTCTCTGGTCAACTTAAAATAAACTAATAAATAAAGTTAAATAAAATAATTATTTGGAAAAAAAAAAAGTGAAGTCTTAACTAATGCAAGGGAGAGATTTCCTCATTTAAGCTTTTTCCACATGGCAAGTTCTGGGCACATTATGCAGTGTATACATAGTTTGGCTATACAACCTAATGTATTTGGATGCTTGAAAGCAAACAGAAGCACTATTTCAGACACTGACAACACTGTGCAGGAACCACACAGCCCCTGCTCCTAAGGCACTGCAGCGTACCTGGTGGACAGAGCACAGAGGGAGCCGGCGGCCACGACATACTTGGCGGGCCCCCATCCGACGTACTCGAACGCCACGGGAAGAGGGCTCTTCTCATCCAGGAGGTAGTACGGCATCATGAGTGTCAAAGCCGCAGACACCCCAAAATAGGCCATGAAGCAAACCAGCAAAGAAGTCACGATTCCGATGGGAATAGCTTTCTGGGGATTCCGGACTTCTTCACCTACGGAAGTGTAAGCAAAAGACGTGCATGTTGAATACGACATTAACAGGTAGAGAACTTCGTGTGTGTCCAGTTCCACTCTGCTGTGTCCTTTCTGTTTTGTTTTTTTTTTCCATCTTGATGTATCTATTTTGCATAGATTTCTTCTCTTCTTGAAGGGATTCTGCTCTTACATAAAAATTCAATTCCCAGAGGGAGAAAACCGTTTCCTGTTTCCAGAAAAGCAAGAAGACATGACATACATTATTCAGTTTAGAGAGACTTGTAGTCCTAATCCATTTGGAAAACGATTCACTCACAGACATGAAACGCCGCCATGGCACTCTATAGCCTCTTACACACGAAGGCTTCACATAAGCGTGTCTCATCTTTGCATATGAAACCCTAGTTCTGAGCAAAACCAGTATCCTTTTTTTTATCTTTTTTAATTTTTATTTTTTTGGAGAGGTTTTTTGCTATAGGGCTCGTGCACTCGCCAGACAGAGAGAGAGAGAGAGACCGAGAGACAGAAAGCGAGAAATCACCCCCCAGGGGCAATGGCCACGCTGCAATCCCTTCTCCATTCTCCTCTCAGGATCTTGGGCACACACGCTCATGTGCCCAGAATGAGTTTAAGCCACCGGGTTCGGGACTCGAACCGCAGTCTATTACATGGGAGTCCAGTGGCATAGCCATTACGCTAACTGCTGGACCCAAAACCAGTATCCTTCTAATCATATCCTTTGCAACGATACGAGCCAGAAGAAGAACTTAGAGAATGACGTGGCATGATGGCTCTGTTGTGTAGAATAAATTGGAAAGAAGTGCCACAATATATTTTGATGAAAGAAGAGACGGTTTAAGAACACGGGTATCAGTTATTACTCACCATGACAGCACTTCCAGATAGAAAACCAGGATGGCAATTATGACTCACATTTATAAAATCTGTGACAGCAAGCATCTTCCCTGTGCATAATCTAAAGTAACCTTGATAATATGGGGTGGGGGGCAGGGACTGCCAGTGTGGAAGTCGAGGTGCAGAGTGTTTCAGTTTCCTTTGTATCGTAGGTGGCAGGGGACTCAGAGGGGTCTGAACTAGCGCCCTTTCTCTCTCAAATCTCACTCTCTTCCCCTGACCTGGACTTCGTGGGCTCCAGGGAGCACCTTTCCTTCGACCTGGAGCCAGCCACCACTCTTACCAGTCGTCGCAATGCAGTCAAATCCCACGAAGGCATAGAAGCAGGTCGCAGCGCCAGCCAGCGTTCCCGCAAAGCCGTAAGGCATAAAGCCACCCGCCCCGTACATGCTCGTTCCGTTTTCAGAAGGCGGCTCTCTAAGGAAGAGAACACACACGCCACATCAGGTATTTTCACAGAAAACCGCTCCTTCTGGTGATTTCTCTAACTACACCCTTGGAAGGCTGTCGTGTTCGTCAGCTCTTCGAAGCTGATGTGCATAACACTAAGCCTGAACCCGCTGCCTTCACTCTGTCCCAGAGGATGTGCTGGTGCCCCTAATGACAGCACCTACCAGGGGCCCTCTCTGTCACCGATGCCCTACTGTCAGCTGAGGGACAGCACGTGCAGAAGGCCTGGGCCCATGCAGGCTGGACAGCACAGCCAGGCAGGACTTTCAGAGTGGCCTCTGTGTATGAGCCATGATCTATGGCCCCTTTTTCCAATGAGAATCTGTTCTTCAACTCAAGGAGCACAAAGTAAAGCAGACGGCTCATCTCTGAAATTCACCAGGAAGGCCCCAGAAAAGCCGAAACAGAGTTCTCTGGGATTCACTACTGACACTGCAGTGGATACACCCTCTGTGGTGCGGTTGGCAGTCTGCCGGGCTGCAGAGCTGGATGCCACATGCTGACTGCAGTTCGAGTCCCCTGTCTGGTTGCGTGCACTTGCCCAGGAACCTGGTGATGGGATGACTTGGAGGAAGGGGGCTGTGGCATGATGGAGTCCTGTGAAGGCTGCTTTTCTCTCTCTCTGTCTTTGTGTCTCTCTCTCATGTGTACATATGCTGTGTCATGAATTAAAAAATCATGAAATTTGGGGCCAGCCAGTGGCACGGTGGTGAAGGTACTGGATTCCACATGGCTGACCATGGTTCGAATCCTGAACCCAGTGGGTTGAAAATCACAACAGATCAATAGATAATCAATTAAATAAATAAATGTTTAAAAAAAATAAAGTTTAATGTTTTATTATATGTTAAAAATTGTATAAAATCAGACGATACAATTTTGTTCCTCATCGGGATGACTATAAACACCATACTGAAAAAAACCAGGTGGCCCTTACCACGCCCTTCACACCGTCACTCACAGTGAGCACCAAGCTGTCACACTCACTCCACAGCGAGCGCACTGTCGCCTCTGAGTCTAGGGCAGGGCTTGGAAATCTTGGCCCCTCAGAAAGGTCTCCGAAGCATAACGTTTGAGAACCAGCGTTTTGGAAGAAAGCTTTCATGTTTGCTCTCTTAAAACGCAGGATTAAAAAACCCCGCAGAAACCCCCAAGTATTTACCTGGCACTTGCTGATATATTTTTGAGGAACTCTTCACTAATCTTCCAGTTCGCCACATTTCCTTTTACAAACCCAGCCACCATCACGAAGAGGAGGACCAGGATATTGATGGCTGTGAAGATCTTATTCACCCAGGCGGACTCCTTCACGCCGAAGGATAAAAGCCCTATGGACAAAGCAAGGGCATATTAGTTTTAACTGAAGCCTTAGAAAAAGCAATGGCATTCGGGAGCAAGTACAGGCTTCAGGCTACTGTTTCATCAGCACTCGCATTTAACCCCATTTACCCATCCCATTGCTCGCTTGTGCTCATTTACCACCTGCCTCTGAAGCAACATCCTTTAACACAGCTAATTGGACCTCAGAAGGCAGGTCATGCTCAGAGTCGCGTGAAACTACACTACGGTCTTTTTTATTTTATTTTTTATTTATTTTATTTTAAAATTTTATTTAATATTTTGCCAGAAAGACAGAGAGAGACAGAGAGATAGAAAGCGAGAAATCACCCCCAGGGGGGATGGCCACACCACAATCCCTTCTCCTCCATTCTCCTCTCAGGATCTTGGGCATGCATACACACATGCCCGGTGTGAGTTTTAAGCCACCAGGTCCGGGACGTGAACTGTGGTTTACTACATGGGAGTTCAGCGACATAGCCATTATGTCAACTGCTGATCCCACATTTGGTCTTTTTTTCATTTTGCCAGAGAGCATGTGCATTAGTGGGAATGAGAGAGAGAGAGAGGGAGAGAGAGAGGAAACACCTCCCCATGGGGAACGGTCATACTGCAATCCCTTTTCTCCATTTCTCCCTTCTTTCAGAATTTTGGGCACACATGAACCTGGCATATTTTTCAAGCCACTAGGTCCAGGACTTGAACCATAGGGTTGGCCATGTGGGATCTAGCTGCCTTTACCACCATGCCACAGGCTAGCCCAATACTACATTTTCTAATAAATGTATAAATCAAGTAACTTTGGCTATTATTACTAAAGCTATTTATATGTAAAGTAACACTAAATTTTAATGAACATTTTATTATTAACAATCCCTTCTCCTCCATTCTCCTCTTGGGGTCTTGGGCATGCATGCACATGTGCCCAGCATGAGTTTTAAGCCACCGGGTCCAGGACTCAAACCAGGGTCAACCAGGTGGGAGTCCATGATGTAGCTATTACACCATCTGCTGGTTTCCTATTATTACTATTTTTTAAGACCATATCTCAATTCTCTTGTCTCAGCACCCCTAGCCAGGAATATAAGCATGCACCATCACGTCTAATTCTCTCTCTCTCTTTTTAAAATTTATTTATTTTTTATTTAGACTTATTTATTTTCAGGTTTTTGCTATAGGGTGCGTGCACTTACTGGAGAGAGACAGAGAAATGGTGAGAGGGAAAGTGAAAACTCAGCTGCACTCCCTATCCCAGGGCCATGCCACAATCCCTTCTCCTCCTGGGACTTCGGGCATGGAAACAAACACACCCAGCATGACGTTTTACACTGACAGGTCTGGGATTCGAGCCATGGCTGGCACTGTGGGAATCCAGTGCCTTAACCATCATACCACCCCCCGGCTCTCTTTTAAGATATGTCCTGCTATGATGCCCTGGCCAGACTCCCAAGTGCTGAGATCACAGGTGCCCACCACTGTGCTGAACTTCAGACTGGACAGAGAATCAAGCCCAGGCTTCCGGCATGGTCCCGGCCTGCAGGGCACAGTTTTAGCAGCATGTGATGGGCTGGAAAAGGTGTTCTAAAAACTATTTCAGGGTTAATGTGAGTATGCATGTGTGTTTCTAAAGAGAGATTTTTTTTTTTTTTTTTTTTTTTTTTGCTATAGGATGTGTGTGCTTACTGGAATGACAGAGAAAGATAGAGAGACAGAAGCAAGAAATCACCTCCCAAGGGGGATGACCACACTGCAATCTCCTCTCCTCCATTATCCTCTCAGGATTTTGGGACACATGCACGCGCACCCATTGTGAGTTTTAAGCCTCTGGGTCTGGGACTTGAACTGCGGTCCACTATGTGGGAGTCCAGTGATGTAACCATTATGCCATCTGCTGGTCCCTAGGGTTAATGGTTTTAAACTTTTTCATATTAAAACCTCAGTCGTCCATCTGCCATGTATTTATTGAATAAATAAAATAATTCTGCCATTGTTGCACAAAAAAATGGGCTTTGTTAAATCAATTCTCATTTTTAAAAACCGATTATTTTATTTTACTTTATTTACTTATTTTGACGAGAGAGAGAGAGAGAGAGAGAGAGAGAGAGAGAGAGAGAGAAAGTGAGAAAGCCAGCCACCAGGTCCAGGACTCGAACTGTGGTTGGCCATATGGCAGTCCCACACCCTTAACCACCATGCCACCTGCCGGCCCCAATCAATCCCCATTTTAATAGAGAATTTCTTTTTCAAGTAATTTAAACATACAGAAAAAACATAAAGAAAATAAATATTACCTGAAGAGGTCTCACCTCTAGAATTCTGCGCACACACACACACACACACACACACACACAAATTTCCATGTCAACAAATTTATAACCTCATGTTTAATACCTGTGTGATCTACTCTATTGAGGTACCATACTATAATGAACATCTTATTTATAGACAATTAGGTCATTCCTAGTGCTTCACAATTACTAACACCACTGACATAATCATCCTTTTATAAATATGTTCGTATACTTTCTAGCTATTTCTAGTATAGTAATTTTCTATATGGTAATATAGTGTATGTATTTTTATACAAAAATAATAGTAATGATAAATAAAATTAAGTAAATAATTGTTTTAAAATGTATATAATTTTTCTTGACATCAGAAGCAAAATGAAAAACATGTGACACCAATAGATTTTATTTATGCTCCTGTCCCTTTATAAAATATTTAATTAATGACTAAGCTTTTTTTCTTTTTCCTTTGGAGAGGTTTTTGCTATAGGGCATGTGCGCTCGCCAGACAGAGAGAGACAGTGAGACAGAAAGCGAGAAATCATCCCCCGGGGGGGGTGGCCACGCCATAATCTCCCCCATTCTCTTCTCGGTATCTTGGGCATGCATGCACACGCTCCCAGCGTGAGTTTTAAGCCACTGGGTCCAGGACTCGAACCGGGGTTGACTACATGGGAGTCCAGCGACATAGCCATTGCACTAACTGCTGGTCCCATGACTAAGTTTTTGAAGAGAGAAGCTAAATTAATTTTAAACCGCCAGAGGGTACATGCACTAGATGGGGGAGGGGTGCAGAGAGGGAGAAAAAACTTCCCAATGGGGCAGGTCACAATGCGATCTCACCTCCATTCCGCCTCCTTTGGGAGTTTGGACATGCATGCACACTCTTGGTGGTTTTTTTCAAGCTCCTGGGCTGGGGTCATAAACCACAACCAGCTATGTGGAATCTGGCTTCCTTAGACACTAGGGCTATGGAATTGGCCCTAGATGTTTAAGGTTATATAATTTTACAAGTAAACATTTAATAAGAGATATCTCTGCCACATCCTTCTAACTAAGGGAAAAAACCAAGATAAGGGCAGACAGCAAAGCAGGGGGAAGAGCCCCCAGCATGAATCATGTCAGAAGCAGGCCAACAGGTGGTATGGTGGTGACAGTGGCTGGACTCCCACGTGGTGAACTGCAGTTCAAGTCCTGGACTCAGTGGCATGAAAATCACGCTGGGTGCACGTGCATGCATGCCTGAATTCCCAAGAGGAGAATGGAGGAGAAGGGACTGCCGTGTGGCCATCCCTTCTAGGGGGTGATTTCTCACTTGCCCTCTCTCTCTCTCTCTTCTCTCTGGTAAGCACACTAGCCCTACGGCAAAATCCTAAAGAAATCAAGTACGAAGTGCCACACATGGGTATTATTCTTACTGAGTTTTTGGTGGGCTTAAGTAGAATTGTACATAGGAATGATAATCATAACGCAGAAAAAAGCATGACAGAAAAGCTTAATTTCTTCCAGAAATAGTATGTTTGCAAATATCCTGAATTGTATCTAACAAAATGAAACACCACCAAGAAACTCTATGTTCCTGTTTCCTGCAACTCCATAGCCATTTCCGTAAACCTCCCGTGATGAGCATTGTAATGTAGAAGCCCTCGTCCTGCGACGTAGCGCATGTCGACTGCCATTTTCTCAGACGCGCTGTTACTACGGTTCCACCCAATTTTAGTTATTTTGAGACATTCCTACCATGGAAGATGAAACGTGATTCCAGCCAGTGTTGACATGCACAGACGGCCAGCAGCAGCCTCGGTGCTCCAGTAGGCCGACCCAGCTTTCAGAACGCACGCTCACAATTCAGTAGTGACCTGCTTCTCTGGAACAAATGGTCTCCTCAGGGGGAGAGGCACACTCGGTTTTCTTACCTGCTAGCAGTAATATAAGGCACACGGCAAAGAAGTCTGGATACTCTGCAAGGCCAGTGTAGTTCATCCTGAAGTATGTCTTGAAGAACTGACCGATCTGTTTGCTAAGAAGTTCGTCAAAGGTGCCACTCCACGCTCTTGCGACACTTGACGTACCTTCCCGAGATAGAACATTCAATGAGTACAAGGTCACCAGCAGAAAAACTGACATGGCACCACTTGTTACTATTATTCTAGAATAAACATAAGTTAATTCACACAGATTGGACATCTTAATCACATATAGCATTAGCTTGAAATTCTTATAGCTAAACAATAGCAATCAAATGCTCTATGAACATGGAAATCAAGTTACTTCACTTGCAATAAAGAACTATGATTTTATTTTTTCATTTGAAGAGGTTTTCGCTATAGGGCGTGTGCGCTCGCCAGACAGACAGAGACAGACAGACAGAAAGCGAGAAATCACCCCCCAGGGGGGATGGTCATGCCGCAATCCCTTCTCCTCCATTCTCCTCTTGGGATCTTGGGCACGCATGCACACGCGCCCAGCATGAGTTTAAGCCACTGGGTCCGGGACTCGAACCGCGGTGGACTACGTGGGAGTCCAACGACATAGCCATTACGCTAACTGTTGGTCCCAAGAACTATAATTAAAAAAAATATATATTTTATTTAACTTTATTTACTTATTTATTTTAATTTGACCAGAGAGGGACATAGCATGCGCATGCATGCAAGAGAGAGAAAAAGTGAGAAAGCAAGCCACCAGGTCTGGGACTCGAACCATGGTCAGGCATGTGGGAGTCCAGTGCCCTTAACCACCATCATTTGCCAGCCCTGATTTTTTTTTAAAAACAGGTGTTCAAAGTCACTAAGAGTCATATTGAGAGAGGATGCAGAAGCACAAAATTTTGCAATTAGAAGATGTTTTATGAGAAAAATGAGGTACACAGGAGTCAAGGTGTCCCAGGAGGTGATGAGTAAGGCAGGCCTACACCTGGCCTCTAAGGCCCGACCGAGGATGCCCTCCTACCGTTCTACACAACCGAGACTCGCTGGGAGCGTACCTATGACGTAGGACAGAATGAGGTTCCAGCCAGTGATGAAGGCCCACAGCTCTCCGACTGTCACGTAGGTATACAGATAGGCCGACCCTGTCTTGGGCACCCGGGCCCCAAATTCGGCATAGCAGAGGCCTGCCATCACAGACGCCAGGGCTGCGATGAGGAAGGAAACGACGATGCTGGGGCCCGAATCTGCTTTGGCCACTTCTCCGGCTAGAACATAGACCCCGGCGCCGAGAGTGCTTCCAACCCCCAGGGCAATGAGGTCCATGGTAGATAAGCAGCGGCATAATTTGGAATCTTCTAGACTGTCCAGGGTGACGATTTTTCTCCGGATCAGACATTGGGCAAAGGTCAGTGCTGCTTTGCAGGGAATCATTCTGAAGTGGGCAACCTAAGCCAGAGAAGAGAAAGGTCAGAGGCTGGTCTTGAACTACTGTCCCTCAGGTAGCTACCCGGCTTCAGTGCACAATATCGCAGCTGATTTCTTCTTCTTCTCCTTTTTTTCTTTTTTCTTTTTTTTTTTTTAACTTAATAGAGCAGAGGTCCAAAGCAATTAGAAAAAGGATTTAATAAGTCAAAGTTGAGACTTTCCTGTAGTTCATTCATACGTGTCCCTCAGTGAAAGGGACTGAGAAGCAAAGACATAGCAGCCCTGGGTGATTTAGTAGAAATACCTTCCATAAGAGGGACCAACAGATGGTATAATGGTTATATGTCGCTGGACTCCCATGTAGTTGATCGTGGTTCGAGTCCCAGACCCAGAGGCTTAAAACTCACACCAGGCATGTGTGTGTGTGTGCCCAAAATTCCGAGAAGGGAATGAAGGAGAAGGGATTGTGGTGTGGCCATCTGCTCTGGGGTGGTGATTTCTTGCTTTCTGTCTCTCTCTATCACTCTCTGTCTCTCTGCCAAAGACACGTGCCCGGTAGCAAAAATCTCTCTCTCAAACTAAGAAATATATTCCAAAAGATGGCTACTTTACTCTCACTATAAGAAAGGGAGTAGATTCCTGCATTTACTTAGTTTCCCTCTCCTTTTTTTTCATTCATTTTCAGAATGTTTAGGCCTTACTAAATGCCAGAGACTGTACTCGGAATATACAAGGAGAGTCCAAGAAATTCACGGGAAGATGGAATTAAAGTATACATTTATTTTTTGGTGCAGTCTTGAAATCTGTGCATAATTTTTTCAAACTACTCATTTTCCCTGAACTTGTTGCGGGCCCTTCACATGTAGAATGGTGTGTTACATAGATGTGGTCTCTAGCTTATTATCTAGAAGCATACAGAACATGGTCACTATGCTTCCACAGCTTTATCAAATGTGTCAGCTGTTCTGTTTTCATTTTAAACAATTAATGTGGAGCAGATGTAAGCTTTTTTACAATAAAAAAAAATTCCTCCCAAAACATGTTTAGCTGATACTAGCTAAAACTGCTATTGAACCACACTTTAAGTATGAATTTGTACTAAATACACACTTATTATATTTAAGTGCAATTCCTAGATAAGTTGGCCCAAAGTCTGTGTCAAGTTTTGTCATATATTCTACTCTTATATGATTGTCGGTATACCAAACAATAACACGCAAGAAGCTTTTTAAATCCTATCATCTGGTCATTTTGATTAAAGAAACGAAAAGCAGCCCACACAATTAGACTACATAGTACTCATCATTCTAACGCCTAGCCAGCGTGGACTAGTTCAGGGCGAAGTTGCTACTTTTCCACACAGGTTGCAAATCTATGACTTTTTCATAGACAAAGCCCCTGTCTTTTAAGAAAGTGTTAGGGAAAAAAATGCATTCAATCCCTTTCTTCCTCCAAATAAATTTTTCCCACTAGATCTAAGAAAGGACAAGTTAACACTGATGTACACATTGCTTGAGCTAAATAGACCGTAGGAAAATAGATCGTGTATATCCATTACATTTCTAGGAAATACAAGAGGAAAAGGGGACATCGCTGAGTAAGCTCTGAGTCTGTACCAAGAAGCTAAATTGACTCCTCTCCAAAAGTGAAAGGGTCTACTAAATAATATACAAAAGTAATCTAAATAAAAGGCATAAACTGAGTATTAGTCCCATATCAATAGCAAGATGCAAGTTTTTGGTACAGACAGCAGCGAATCAAAGTAAAGAAAAGTCCTACATGAATAATGACAGTGGGCACAGAGTTCCTCGATGGTAAAAATACAGCTTTATATCTTTGCTATCCTCCACGCCACCTGACAGAATGCTGAAGCACAGAACTTCAACAAATACGAACATCTGCGAATACAGACGACAGCTTCAATTTCGCCAGTATTCAGGCTTCCATACAATGCCTATCAAGCCTCCTATCAATCAAATAGGCATCATTCTTTACCCCTAGCGAACCCTTAAAGAACTATGTCTCATAAAAATACATCTAGAAGGTAAAGTAGGGAAGTGTTCTGCTTTAAGAAAATCAAGAAGAAAGGCCAGCAGGTGGCGTGGTGGTTAAGGTGCTGGACTCCCATATGGCCCACTGTGACCTGAGTCCCCGACCTGGCAGCTTCCTTTCTCACTTTCTCTTTCTCTCTCTGTGTCTCCCTCTGGTGAGTGTACATGTGCCCTGTAACAAATTAGAGAATAAGAATAATGATGGATAAAATGAAATAAAGAACTCTTAAACATTTAAAAAATCAAGAAGCACAAAGTAGACATTCTATAAAGGCCAATGGGGAGGGGGCAGGGAGACGTGGAGGAGAGTGTTTAGGAATCTTCTAGACTGTCCAGGGTGACGATTTTTCTCCGGATCAGACATTGGGCAAAGGTCAGTGCTGCTTTGCAGGGAATCATTCTGAAGTGGGCAACCTAAGCCAGAGAAGAGAAAGGTCAGAGGCTGGTCTTGAACTACTGTCCCTCAGGTAGCTACCCGGCTTCAGTGCACAATATCGCAGCTGATTTCTTCTTCTTCTCCTTTTTTTCTTTTTTTTTTTTTTTTTTTAACTTAATAGAGCAGAGGTCCAAAGCAATTAGAAAAAGGATTTAATAAGTCAAAGTTGAGACTTTCCTGTAGTTCATTCATACGTGTCCCTCAGTGAAAGGGACTGAGAAGCAAAGACATAGCAGCCCTGGGTGATTTAGTAGAAATACCTTCCATAAGAGGGACCAACAGATGGTATAATGGTTATATGTCGCTGGACTCCCATGTAGTTGATCGTGGTTCGAGTCCCAGACCCAGAGGCTTAAAACTCACACCAGGCATGTGTGTGTGTGTGCCCAAAATTCCGAGAAGGGAATGAAGGAGAAGGGATTGTGGTGTGGCCATCTGCTCTGGGGTGGTGATTTCTTGCTTTCTGTCTCTCTCTATCACTCTCTGTCTCTCTGCCAAAGACACGTGCCCGGTAGCAAAAATCTCTCTCTCAAACTAAGAAATATATTCCAAAAGATGGCTACTTTACTCTCACTATAAGAAAGGGAGTAGATTCCTGCATTTACTTAGTTTCCCTCTCCTTTTTTTTCATTCATTTTCAGAATGTTTAGGCCTTACTAAATGCCAGAGACTGTACTCGGAATATACAAGGAGAGTCCAAGAAATTCACGGGAAGATGGAATTAAAGTATACATTTATTTTTTGGTGCAGTCTTGAAATCTGTGCATAATTTTTTCAAACTACTCATTTTCCCTGAACTTGTTGCGGGCCCTTCACATGTAGAATGGTGTGTTACATAGATGTGGTCTCTAGCTTATTATCTAGAAGCATACAGAACATGGTCACTATGCTTCCACAGCTTTATCAAATGTGTCAGCTGTTCTGTTTTCATTTTAAACAATTAATGTGGAGCAGATGTAAGCTTTTTTACAATAAAAAAAAATTCCTCCCAAAACATGTTTAGCTGATACTAGCTAAAACTGCTATTGAACCACACTTTAAGTATGAATTTGTACTAAATACACACTTATTATATTTAAGTGCAATTCCTAGATAAGTTGGCCCAAAGTCTGTGTCAAGTTTTGTCATATATTCTACTCTTATATGATTGTCGGTATACCAAACAATAACACGCAAGAAGCTTTTTAAATCCTATCATCTGGTCATTTTGATTAAAGAAACGAAAAGCAGCCCACACAATTAGACTACATAGTACTCATCATTCTAACGCCTAGCCAGCGTGGACTAGTTCAGGGCGAAGTTGCTACTTTTCCACACAGGTTGCAAATCTATGACTTTTTCATAGACAAAGCCCCTGTCTTTTAAGAAAGTGTTAGGGAAAAAAATGCATTCAATCCCTTTCTTCCTCCAAATAAATTTTTCCCACTAGATCTAAGAAAGGACAAGTTAACACTGATGTACACATTGCTTGAGCTAAATAGACCGTAGGAAAATAGATCGTGTATATCCATTACATTTCTAGGAAATACAAGAGGAAAAGGGGACATCGCTGAGTAAGCTCTGAGTCTGTACCAAGAAGCTAAATTGACTCCTCTCCAAAAGTGAAAGGGTCTACTAAATAATATACAAAAGTAATCTAAATAAAAGGCATAAACTGAGTATTAGTCCCATATCAATAGCAAGATGCAAGTTTTTGGTACAGACAGCAGCGAATCAAAGTAAAGAAAAGTCCTACATGAATAATGACAGTGGGCACAGAGTTCCTCGATGGTAAAAATACAGCTTTATATCTTTGCTATCCTCCACGCCACCTGACAGAATGCTGAAGCACAGAACTTCAACAAATACGAACATCTGCGAATACAGACGACAGCTTCAATTTCGCCAGTATTCAGGCTTCCATACAATGCCTATCAAGCCTCCTATCAATCAAATAGGCATCATTCTTTACCCCTAGCGAACCCTTAAAGAACTATGTCTCATAAAAATACATCTAGAAGGTAAAGTAGGGAAGTGTTCTGCTTTAAGAAAATCAAGAAGAAAGGCCAGCAGGTGGCGTGGTGGTTAAGGTGCTGGACTCCCATATGGCCCACTGTGACCTGAGTCCCCGACCTGGCAGCTTCCTTTCTCACTTTCTCTTTCTCTCTCTGTGTCTCCCTCTGGTGAGTGTACATGTGCCCTGTAACAAATTAGAGAATAAGAATAATGATGGATAAAATGAAATAAAGAACTCTTAAACATTTAAAAAATCAAGAAGCACAAAGTAGACATTCTATAAAGGCCAATGGGGAGGGGGCAGGGAGACGTGGAGGAGAGTGTTTATTAAATGCTGGGCTTCTGTCATATTTAAGCATTTTTATCCAAAGATCAGGAATTCCAGACCACTGCCAACTGAAAAGTACTCGGGGACAAAGAGCCACTGAAGTTCCCTGGCCACTTAAATGATCCTGTGAAAATGGTGCGCGTCACACAGGGTGTTGGGTGCACAACCGACAAATGGAGGCACACCTGTTTGTCACTGACACACTCGATTAACCTGGGCATCCATGAATGCAAGGCACAAATTCTGCAGCTACTGCATATTCAAAGACAAAGAATCTGGAAAGGAGGGAAAACAAAAAAGAGATGGGGGGGTGATAAGATTGTTGAGTGAGCTTTTATGATTTCTTAATTCTTTTTTTCTGGTGTTACAGTCGTGATCTTGTTGTGAAATTTTTAAAGACAAAACAGCATAAAAATGAGAGCAAATAAGCAAGCTAATTCACAAACAATTTCAAACCTTCTTTGAAAACATTAAAGCAGTGAAAAACCTTTATTATTAAGTTACCCCGAAGAAATGTTGGTGATGGTCATCTCTTTAATATATAATTGAATTTTATTTACTCCAGCTTATACAGGAAGTAGAATTGCTTATAGAAATGTATAGCTTCCGAGGGAACCAGCAGTTAGCGTAATGGCTATGCCGCTGGACTCCCATGTAGTCGACCGTGGTTTGCGTCCTGGACCTGTTGGTGGCTTAAAACTCACGCCGGGCGCGTGTGCGTGCGTGCCCAAGATCCCAAGAGGAGAATGGAGGAGAAGGGATTGCGGCGTGACCATCCCCTCTTGGGGGTGATTTCTTGTTTTCTGTCTCTATGTCTCTCTCTGTCTGTCTGGCGAGCGCACACGCCCTATAGCAAAAACCTCTCCAAAAAAAAAAAAAAAAAGAAAGAAATGTATAGCTTCCAAGACCAATTGATCTATAAGTATTCTTTTGCCTCCCTGTCCAATTTTAAAGTACAAATGAAGTCAAATAATTCAAGTCCCGGGCCTGGCGGCTTGCTTTCTCATTTTCCTTCTGTGTGTGTGTGTGTGTGTGTGTGTGTGTGTCTTGCCAAATTAAAATAAATGAATGAATAAATAAATAATTCTTTTAAAAATGTATAGCTTCCATTAGATAAGATCTTATTTCTAAATGTGTTTCAAAGTAAACATGGAAAGTATTTTATGGACAGTTAGTTTTCCTAGGTTGCTCCAAGTAAATAAGACAAAGATGCCGTTTGTCAATATTCACTTGCGTTTGAGTAATAGAAAAGCGCACGTCAGAAACTTCTCAGAACCAAGAGGTTACTCAATGTCCTTTGCTAATAACCTCAACTACGTTCAGCCTAGTGAAATACTGATTGCAAAAGCCATGCACACAACTAGTTTTGTACAATATAATAGGATGGGAGAAAAGGAATGTAAAAACATCCTGGATCAATTTAATGAGTCATTAGACAAATATTTATTGAGTCCTAGCAGGTATATCACACAGCGATTAGTAAATAAAGAGAAAAGATAATCTTGCTTTTGTAAAATATGCTTCTATGCACATACACTGATATGTAAAAACAGAGTGGGAACAAAGGAGTGAGAGGCGCTGGTATTTTTTAAAGTTTTATAACTTTTCCTTTAACATTTTTGAAAAGAGGGGCCAGCAGGTGGCATGGATGAAGGCAGCCGGACCCCACATGGGCGAGTGTGCAGTGCAAGTCTCAGACTCAGGAACTTGAAAGTCACGCCAGGTGCATGTGCATGTGTGCCCACAAATCCCAAGAGGAGACTGGAAGAGAAAGGATTTGGCATTGCCATCCTACTCCCTGGGCCCTCTCTCTCTCTCTCTGGCGAGTACATGTGCCTATAGCAAATTAAAAAATATATATATTTTTCTTTCTTTCTCTTCTTTTTTCTTCCTCTCAATAAGCTCCTTGTGGGAAATGGTTATCACCCCTCACTCTAATTTTTACAAAGCATTTGTATTACTAAAAAGAAAATCCACTCACGCTATGTCTTACCACAAATGCACAGGCAGACCTAAGAGGCAGGGATTCCGCTGTGTCCCTGGGAGCATACCACACACCACAGGATCGGCCCCGTTGTACCCACTGTCAGCCCTTGCTGACGGGACCATGGATTGTTATTTGTTTATTTTTTTTGAGAGTTTTTTTTTGTTAGAGGGTACATGTGCTCACAGAAGAGACAGAGACCGAAAGCGAGAAATCACCTCTCAGAGGGATGGCCAAACTACAATCTCTTCTTCTCCATTTTCCTCTTGGGCTACTGGGCACGCATGCATACACTCCCAGTGTGAGTTTTAAGCTGCAAGGTGTGGGACTCGAACTGCGGTCGACTACGTGGGAGTCCAGTGATGTAACCATTACGCCATCTGGTAGTCCCTAGGGATTGTTTTTAAGATGACACCTACATAGAAATAGTAAAGGACAGCAATCCAGACTGCGAGAAGAGGCCCATGCAAAACTCATACTCCGCTTTTTTCTTTTTCTATTCTCTTTCTTTTTCCTTTTCTCCTGAAACTACTGAGACTTACAAACAAAACAAAACAAAACAAAACAAAACAAAACAAAACAAAACAAAACAAAACAAAACAACTCAACCCGTCTCCTTAAAACAAAACCTTAGAACATAAAGGCTCAGGACAAGCAGATGGTATCATGGT